AGATAGATAGATAGATAGATAGATAGATAGATAGATAGATAGATAGACAGAGATAGATAGAGATAGATAGAGATAGATAGATAAAGATAGATAGATGGATGGATGAATAATCTGTGATTTCTTGTTTGCATCCTGTGATATGTAAAATTATACCTGTGAAAATTTAAAGCAATAGTAATGCCATCTTTAACCTCTGTGTTAACCTAGGATAATTTACTGGATTGTTATGTAAGACTTCTCTATTGTTTTGTATAAAGATTACATATTTGGCAGGTTAGGCTGATCAGTGCCATGTTAATGATGGAGATTACTGGAAATGGAAACGGGTAAACAGGATATGAAACAGATGCTATGCTACAATAACAGGGTTGTTGCGTAAGGAGATATGTAGTTGGATAGATTGTGAACCCAGGAAAGGGTCAGAGACTGTATATTTAAGCTTGTATATAAACCTCAGCCCTCCTGGGGAAAATGTCATCTGCTATGAGCAGAATTCCCTTTTGCAAAAGCCTAATAATAAAGCTCTTTTATATTGTTCATTGTCTCTGCTGTATTTTGTGAACTTGTGTGGAATGGGTGGCTAAATAAATTAGATGTTAGATAGATAGATAGATAGATAGATAGATAGATAGATAGATAGATAGATAGATAGATAGATGGATGGATATTTGTGATTTATCTATCTAGATGATCTATCTATCTAGATAGATAGAAAGATAGATGGATGGATATTTGTGATTTCCCAAGCTTTCATATTTGGGCTAAACTGAACACCAAACGACATAATAACTGGTCATATCCATATTCATTCTGAACATATTCTATTACTTTCTATCCTTGTGAAGAAATATAAAACAAAATATGCTCACGGAGATAGTATATATTAGATCACATACTTTTTCTAGATATTTCAAGATCAATATGAGAGATGTTAAAAATTTGTCCCAAAGATATGGGTAGTCAATTTGTCTCTGCTGATTCTACATGTACAATGAAGCTTTCATTCATTCATTCATTCATTCATTCATTTACACGAATTTGATCAGCAACGTCCTAACTTCTAGGCAGGACAATGTCAATGTAACAAGAAGCCAAGAGGAGAGATCTCTGCTCATGAGATCTTATTCACCACTGTGAATTCCTTACAAACCTTCTGAAGCTCTGACTGACTCTACAGTGTGGCTCTAATGGCTATATAAAATATGCATGACTAGCAGCCAAGACAAAGGGGACAAAATTGTATTTTGAAATGAGAAACTACCCTGCTTTTTAAATCTATCTTTTTATTTTCTAAATTGATTTCTGCCAGAGCATCTTGAAGTCTGACGGATGTGAACAAAAGCAGAACATGCTAAAATTCAGAAAGATTTTCTGAATGGCCCAGAATAAATCCCTATTCCATGACTTCTTTGATTTATCTACGGCCTTGTAATTTTTGAAAAGGCCATTATAATTTGAATCCCCACAGGCTTAATAATGAGGCTGGAATGACAAAAAGAGCCGAATGTGATAAGGTTGACTTGGATCCTTTCATAGCACAGACTTGCCCTGACGGCACAATTTTTCCCTGCTGGACTCTGCTTTCAAACTAACCTGTCCATGAATGGGATAGTCCTTTGTGGTGCAAGTCCTCAAATAGCCTTTCTCCCTTTATTCTGACGCTATCCAAGGAGAGCCTCAAGGCGCATAAAATTTGTTTACCTTTGCCAATGATGACCTTGAGGGATTGCCAGCGGCTGAGAGCAAAGGCCAAACAACAAATGTCATGGCAGGCAGTTTAACACTGAAGCACGTGAGAACAATTTGCACCTCTCTGAAAACCCAACAATCTTTTCTGTATCTTTTCTGACTGAGCAGCACTATTTCCGGAAGCATGCTGCTCAATCTAATTGTATCTTCTATGCAATTTTTCATTAATCTGCTCAAAAAAACCCCAAATCTTAATTGAAACAATTTGTCATGAAGTTTTAACACTTCCTTGATTTTGTCCTCAAGATCATTTTGGGCAATTTGCATGTTTTCTTTTGCACGCACACAGAGACGCCACCAACATAGACAGCAGGTTCACCCGAAGGGCATTTTCTCGAGTCACTTTTCCAAATGGAATTTGATTATATTCTATAAGTATTTCAAGCAAGGATTAACAAATGTATTCAGGTTTGGGCAGGAAAATAAAAACACAAATATTTAAACAAAAATGGGAAAAAGTTTCCTTTGCTGAAAAAAGTATATTTCAGTAAGTGGAACATACTGATATCTATATGAGGCTCAATTAAGATTTCACTATGTTTGTTAGATTTATGTATCTTCTTTTCTCTAAAATTCATGCCTATACACTTGTATGTGTATTTCTGCAACTTATTAAAGAAGAAATGACAAATCTTTAGAAATATTTGGTTCCATTAAAAATAATCAATTCTTATTTTGAGAATTCCAGTTGATCGTGTTACTGTGCATTGATCAACCAAATTTTTGTTTTTGGGAGTGACTAAATAAATCGAAAGACCTCATGTGTAGTTTCTTAGCCTCTTTATATGCGCAAATAGCAATAGCAATACCACAGACTTATGTATACCACGCCATAGTGCTTTACACACTCACTGAGTGTTTTACAAATGTCAGCATGTTGCCCCCAACAACTGAGGTTCTCATTTTACCCACCTCAGAGGGATGGAAAGTCAACCTTGAGAATGTCACGATTGAACTC